GAATTCTGGTTTTGGTTTAGTTTTCAGGATCCAGTACTTGCAAAACTGATTCACAACAGAGTTAACTGAAGCTAACGTGCAGAGACAAAAGGGTAGGTAGTGCAAATTGAACTATTTCTATCTAGGACTAGGAATACCCCCAAGAATGCTCCATGAGTTTGACCCTGAGCCCTGATTGACCCTGAGCCCTGATTCAATCTGCAACATTTAAACAGGGTAGGAAATACAATGGCCAATAACTTGCGAATAACAGAGCCCAACTAATTTCTTTTTGCACAATGTTAAGATAATGGAAAATGATGTGATCACAGTCTACTTGCTAGATGAATAAAAATGGAATAGGTAATTCAGTCAGCACCTCTATCCTCTCATTAAGTGCTTGAAAATGTTGACCCAAACCATTGACAAGAAACTGCCGCACGCAAATGGGTACTTGTGTTGGAAATAACTAACCAACACAGCGGAGAATCAACAGAACAGAACATGTATGCAGCATCTATTTGATTTTCTTTTCAGTAAAGTTTCGCTAGAGTTGTTGGACAGCTCAAGAGAAACATGAAGGGATTTGAATAACATCTTCAGTCACATGACGACATATATAGGAGCGAGGTGCATCGTCTGCAACTGTGCTGACGAAACTGTGACTCATCTCTTTCTCCAATGTCAATTCGCCCAGGAATTCTGGAGAGCCTTGCGTATATCTGTGGTTTCGAATGTTCAAGATCTTGCTGACCTCGCTGCTCCCTGCCACTTGCCTGTCAAGCACTTCCAAGTTTTTTTCTTACTTTGTTTCTGGGGACTTTGGATCCATAGACACGACGTTGTTTTCCGGGGGCTTCCTAACTCCCGGACAAGGTTAGTGGCTAAATGTATTGAGGACGCTACTTTGTGGGCTGAGCACCTCAGTAGAGAAGATAGGCCGGTTGTGACTAACTGGAAAAGTCTTCTTTCTTCTTCTATTCGCTCCGACTAATGCTGTAATGCTTCCGGTTGTACCCCCTCTTCCTTTTTTCCAATATAATTTAGGTGGGGAATCTCCCCCCCCCCGTGATTAATTCCAAAAAAAATATAGGAGCGAGGTTATTGTGGCACAGTGATGATATAATGTTGATTGGAGTGCGTGCGAAGAATGTGAGTTTGCAAAATTTGATGGCATGGCGGCTGAGTTATGTATAGGTGGTACTGTAGCAGCATGAGGAACTTGAAGGAAGGGGAAACTGGTAGGAGAAACAAGTAGTGAGAGAGAAACAATTGTGGACATCACATCACATCACATACGGGGATCCTGGCGGGGTAGGAGGCGATCATGGAGGCCGACTCCTTGGCCCTCTCCTCTGTAAACAAGAATTCGATTCAAGTCAATACTATCCATGAACATGAATAGTACTAAATCTGAAAGAACTAACCCAGGGTGAACTCCTCCTTGAAGGGCTTGGGCTTCATCTCTATCTCTAATTCAAATGAGTCTCTCTCTCGTCTTCTTCCTCCCTTCCTTGATGCGAATCTGTCTGTAGCTAGGGTTCGCTGGTTGCTTGCGTGCTGGTTTGGCTTTGAATTGAACAATTCCGTCGTCCATAGACTCCAGAAGAAGAGGAAAGGACGAGAAGAAGAAGAAGAGAGAAGAGCAAAATAAAGCCCAAAACAAAAAGGAAGAAGAGCCCAGCCCAGCCCAGCCCATGTCGTGTCGTCTTCCCCAGTCCGCACCCAACCCAAACAAGGAGGAGGAGAAAGCAACTCCACTCCGCCTTCCGCCGCCGCCGCAACACCATCAAGAAGATGGCGGCGGACTCGCTGCTGGACATGTCCCTCGACGACCTCATCACCAACAAGTACAAGCGCCGCTCCCGTCCAGGTCCAGCGCCCTCTGCCCGCCGCTCCCACTCCCGCGCCGCCACCCGCTCCGCTGCCGCTCCCTATCACGCCATCACCTTTCAGGTATAGTTTCTCTTTCTTTTTCTTGATTTCTCGCCTGACCCAACGACCACGATCTATTCTTCCTAGGCGCCGCCCACGGCCTACGTCCACCCGACGCCCGCGGCCAACGTCGAGACCGGCACCAAGCTCTACATCTCCAACCTCGACTACGCCGTCTCCAACGAGGACATCAAGGTACCACCACCCGCTCCTCCTTTTTCTTTTTCTTTTTTCCCCAAAAAAAATTACTATAATCTCAACTCACCGTACCTGGATAGCTGCATTAAACTCTTATTGAATTGTCATCTTTATATTCCTCAATTCCCCCATCTTTTCATTTCACCAAACCAATTTTGCTTATTATTTAGGGTACATCCCTACACACACTCACAACTTACCCTTTTCTTATGGAAAGGAAAACCACAGCTTTCTTCATTATTATACTCTTAAGTCCACCTACAAAGCCTCAGCTTTGTATCTTTCCAGACATTTAGAGCACTCATTAACCTTTTTCACAATTTAATTATTGTCTCATTCTCACTAAATTGCTCTACAATTTGCTGCTTACTTTACTCAGGAACTCTTCTCTGAGGTTGGCGATGTCAAGCGTTACTCTATTAACTATGACAGGAGTGGAAGATCCAAGGTTCCAAACCCCACCTTTCTTTTTTCTTTTACTTAATATGTGTCACTCTTTTTATGTTAAAATGCTCATTACTCATACCCTGTTTTGCCAGGGAACTGCAGAGGTTGTATTTTCCAGAAAATCTGACGCCCTGGCTGCTGTTAAGAGGTACAACAATGTGCAGCTGGATGGCAAACCTATGAAACTTGAGCTCATTGGTATAAATATTGAGCCACCACCACCTGCTATTTTTGGTTTCGCTGCACCAGCTGGATACTTCGATTTTCCTCCCAAAAGGTTAGTAGCTTCCATATACAGCATTGTTTTTCTCTCCCCATGAAACAATTAACTCTCAAAATTAACTACTAAGGCCTTGTTTGGCACAGCTCCAGACAGTAGATTTGAAGTTTGTATGATAAATTATAGTGGTTTAAAATTTTAAAATTCATCCAAAATGTGAAAAAAAATGATTTAACTAAATGTTATCAATGTAATCGTAGATCCATGAATTTGTGAAGCTAGGAATACCCAACTTCTAGAAATCTTGGATCCTGAGCTGTGCCAATGAGGGCCTAAGATAAACCTGCTCTGCTTTGTAGGCATAGTCTGTAGTAGTACATAGTTTGATTATTACCTGCACAAATAAGTACCAGCTGATAATGTCTGCCAGACAGAGCTTCCCCGGTCACCAGTAAAGTTTGTACAATGGGGTTCTGACAAGACTGAACTTCAAAAGCGGTTCTTCTTGGAAAATCTTGCCGTACTTTTGAGACAAAATTTGAGTTTATGCCAAGATCTGATGGAAATATAGAAAATTTTAGACGAAGTAGATTCTCCTGGGACTCAAACTTGTGAGCTCGCATTCAGCATGATACCACCAATCTGCGTTAGATCTTGCAATATGGTTTGTTTGTTAAATTACTCAAACTACCTATAAATCCTGAAGTAACTAGCCAGGTCTTCTTCTTAGGTAGTCTTGAATTCAAGATAACCAAATTTTACCGAAACTAGGGGATATTTCGAACCTTGGATACAGTGCCACTAGACTGCCTTAAAAGTCCAAGCAGGATAGGATCACCTGAGACATGTATCCCTTGTATTTATTAAGAATCACCTGGAAACCTTGTTTCTTGCCTCAATGTTACCTGCAGATAGTATGCCCTGGCCCTATTACAGTTTCTATCAAATGTGGAGTGAGACTGAACTTGAGTATATCCAAATACCATTTTAAACTGTTTACTTTTCCAGGGAACCATTTAAAATTGTTTTGTTATATGATATTATGAATCAACAGAATTTGCACTGTGTTTTTTTAAGCCTAGTTTGTCAGGAAGATTCTGAGTAAAACATGTCCAGTGCTGAAATTTTCAGTGGACCTGGCAGGGGTGGAAGAGGATGGCCTCGGGGCAGGGGTGGATTTGGTGGGCGTGGTCGGGGTCATGTGGGTCGTGGGCGAGGGAGGGGAGACCGTGGAAGTCGGAAGATTTCTGCTGAAGACCTGGATGCTGACTTGGACAAGTACCATGCGGAAGGAATGCAAATGAGCTAGATGACCCTCACGCTTTGTTGCCTTGCCTTGATTGCATTAGGTAGAGACAGGGGGACAAACTAGTAGGCCTTCCTTGGTCTCCTTGTTAGTATTTTGTAGGGATAGATGCAGACCAACATATGTATACTTTGTTTAGATGGTGTCATAATTTTGAGCAGGGAATGGCTAAGCTTAACCTGGTAGGTAGAAGCTAGCTCATAATATGTAACACGGAGGGAGCACAACTTTGAACTTTTATAGCTAGTGTTGAACTTTTAGCTAGTGTGGGACTGTGGGTTGATGGACACACAAGCAAAGCAAGCATGCAGCTTGGCAGCCTGGCAAGAGGATTGAATTGATTATGTGCTGTTGTAGACAAACAGAATAGAGAGGTACAGTAGAGTAGATGCTAATGAGCGAGGAGTATGAGGTCGAGCATGTAGGCCTCCAGCTGGAGGGCCTCCTTGGCCATCTCTCCCATGCAGAACCCAATGGAAGCCAATGCTAATGCTACTCCTTGATCTTGCTGCTGCTGCTGCTGTGACAGGAACGACCGCACCAGCATCTCTGGTGCATCCTCGTCGTCACAGCAACAGGTGTCACTGCCGCTGCTGACCCGGATGCCGGCCTCCAGGTCCTCCTCGTCTCTGCTGCTGCTGCTGCTGATACGACTGAGTCGGAGGAGGAGGTCGGCGCTTCGCTCCAGGGATGCGGAGACGAGGCAGTGGAAGCGCTGCGTTGCATCCTCGTCTGCTGCTGGTATTGGAGTTGGATGTGCCTGTGTGTAGAGGTAGAGCAGCTGCGCCATCCTGCCAAGGCTCCCCGCCACCTTGTGGTAGCAGCTCGCCGGGAACGGCGGCGACCACGGGAAATGGGGCTCGCCGGCAGCCTCTGCCACGCATCTCTCCAGCAGGGCCACCTGCTCCTGCACCGCCTTCACCTTCACTTTGGTCGTCGTCTGTCGTCCCCGACTGAAGCAGCCTTTGAGTGCGGCGAGGCAGCGGTCGAGCTGTGCCGTGGCCTTGGTGGACGGCCTGGCGGCGGGCTGGAAGACGAGGTCGGCCACGATGATGCAGGCGAGGCCTATGAAGGTCTCCACCAGGCGTGCGACGGTGAAGGCCATGGGCGGCTCGTCGTAGCGGCGGCCAACGATGATGATGCCAGACACCGCAGCTGCTACACCCCCAGCGCCAGCGGGGCCGTAGGCACGACTGCGCTTGAGGAAGCCGGCAGTGAGGATGAGCCAGGGGAGCAGGGCGAGGAAGCGCAGCTCCATGCGATCGATGACAAGGCAGGCCAGCGCGCCATATACGGATCCGAGAGCGGTGCCGTGAGCACGCGCAATGGCGAGAGCCCAGGTCCACTCGCGGCCGGTGGCCATGGTGGTGGCCACGACGAGCCCCGACCAGAAGCCGTGGTCGCTGCTGAAGAGCAGGCCGAGCAGGACGGCGAGGCCCAGCGAGAAGCTGCACTTGGCCGCGGCCACCAGCCTCCTCCTCATGGTGCTTCTTGTCGTTTGCCGAGGGCACTGGTGTTTCTTCTTCCTCGTCTGCTCCGGTTGCTCTTCATCGTCGTCTTTTGTTGTTGCTGCTGGGATCACCTTCACTTGGGAGGCAGCAGCGTCTGAGTGTGCAGACACAGACAGCAGCAGCTTAGGTGGACGTTGGGGCGCCGGATGAGATCCTTGGAGGAGGAGATCCAAGCATAAGAAGAAGAGGAAAGGAGCCAGCTGCTGCTGCTGCTCCAGAGCACCAACAGAGACCGGCGCTAGTTTGGCCATCTCCATGCTGCCTGTGCCTGTGTTGCTGCAGCTGGGAATGCGTTTTGTGAGCAAAGCCAGGCGTACATGGTCGGTAGCGTGCTGCAGCCATGTTGGTGTCGTGCAGATGCTGCTGATAGTGTTAGTGTTAGGCCAACATGGCTGCTGCAGCATGTGGGTGCAGGCCATCTCCATCCCTCGCAGAGGCATCTCGATCAACTCGTGCAGCCGCGCACAAGCTTGTTCGTCGTCGTCATCCCACCTGCTGCTGCACCACCGTTTCAGCAGCGCCGGCATTCGCTCCCACTGCAAGTCACCCTGCGCATATGCATATAGTTACTTAGTTAATACTAATTAATTTTAGTATAATTAACTTGTAATTAATCCTACTAGCTGGGTATCGGTATCCTAGCTAGTGCGGTTGCTGACGCTTGCTTTCTGACTGCGCCGGATTCCTTGGCTTCTAGTGGATTCAATTCATTCTAGATTTCTAGTACGTCCTAGTTGGTGGCTTGCAGCTCGTGGGGTCACTCACTGCACTAACTAGCTAGTGTGACTCGCATCTCTTTTCGGCAAGGGCCATGGGGTAAGATCTCCTCATATAGTATCACTCGATCATCATATCTCATATGTAACTAATTAGCACTACTAGATTCCGACGACTCTTCTTCGATCGGGCCATCTGCATGCATGCATCTACTATCTGGAGTATACTGATTTGCTGAACGCATATAGTATACATACTTGTGCGGAGCTTATGCGGCGGAGGAGGAGGGCGCCGGCGGAGGCTGCGCGGTCGGCCTGCGACATGATGCACGCGGCCACGCACTGCCGCCGCCGTCTGCGGCAACGACAAGATGATGCTCTCTCCTCATCATCACCTGCAGCCTCGTCGCTGGAGAAGTGCAACTGGAAGGCGTCGGCCAGCAGCCTGACCCTCTCCGCCGCCACCTCCAAGTAGGCGAGCCTCTTGTCCGTGGCGTCGCGCGTGGCCAGCCTCGGGCAGGGGAGCAGCACGCCCAGCAGCGCCGCCACCACCCCGAGCGCCGTGCACGCCACCACGTTTGCCGGATGCAGCAGCACCGCCTCCGACCGCATTCTCTCCTCCCTGAACCTCGCCACGTATATGATGATGATCTGCCCCAGCGCGATCCGCTTCGCCACCGTCCCCGCCGACCCCGCCACCGCCACCGCGAACGTGCTCAGCGCCACCACCGCCGTCGTCGCCAGCACCGACTCCCCGGCGCCGGTGCGGTGCGCCAGCCAGAGTGGCAGCACCGATGGAACTGCGCCCATGGCCGTGGCGTGGACCGCGCTGAGGGCGCCGCGCAGGGAGCTGCCCAGCGTGGCGTCGGTGACTACGATGACGGTGACTACGTAAGAGAAGGCCGGGAAGGTGAGGTGGCGGCGGATGACGAGCGGAGCGTAGATGGAGGCCACGCCGACGATGGTGCAGGCCAGGGCCGAGCGGAAGCCCGTGGCGAGCGAGGACCGCCACCGCCGGCGGGGCTGCAGTACGTCTGGAAGATTATTGATCTGCCTCTCCGACTCGGGCGGCATGATAATTGGTTTATGGACGGCGCCGCCGGTGGTGGCCGCCGACGACGGTGGCATTCTTTCTGATTCTAACTATATATTAGTCGCTTGGCTTGTCTGGCTTATTAGTTACTTATTGGCCCATGCATGCAATGCAATGCATCGTTTGCATCGTACGTATATATATAGGATCGGTGCGCGTCAGCTGCAACTGCATGCATGCCATCTTATTGATCGACCTGTTACTGCTAGGTCTCTGCACGTATCGATCTGTGCTCCAAATCAATTTATAAATTGTAAAATGGAAATCAGCCCGCAGCGTATATAAATAAATTAACAAGAGTAAAGTAGGAGTTTGTTTCTTTCAACCATAATTAGTGGCCACTCTTGCCACTCCACTGCTTTTGGAGCTAGCTAGCTGAGCTCATCGATCCTCTATGACATGTATGCATGCATCCATATTGATGTCGATCGGTCATCTCCGTATACTTTATTTTGTGTAGTGTATGAATTACAAGGAAATTAACCGTGCAGTGCCTTCCACCTGGACGCGCACGGCCGGAAAGAAAAGAAAAGAAACGCACGTGTGGATGCTAGCAGCAGGTCATGCACGATACATATATGGTACTTCTATAGTGTAGTGCGCAACTGCGATGCGGCGAAAAGATCGCCGATCAATACAGTATAATCCAAACAAGAAGACCACTGGAACATTGTAAGAGACCATGCATCTCTGACTCCTGAGGATCAATGCACGGCCGCAGGAGGGCATGAAAGGTTGAAATGGTATATATGCATCTCACACAGTCGTACTCCACCATGCATTAATTATCAAATCTTGCAAGGTTAATTAAAGAGCTAGCGCTAGACCTGCTTAATTAATTACAGCATTTTTAAGGGTCAATAAAAAAATACTCAAGTATCATCTCAGTCCCCTAGCTCACAGAGTCAGTCGTCATCTCTCCCCGATCCCTCGGCGTGCTCTGTGGTATATATAGTGACCACAATCTCACGGTGAGAAAAGTGACCGAGCAATATCATCTACTGAATGTTCCACTATATATCCTAGCTAGCCGTACGTGCAGCAGTAGTGCGTGGTGTAGTACCCCTGCAAGTAGTACGTACGTTACGGTCGATCGGTGACGGATGGCCCTAGCTGCAGCCGGAACGGCATGGACAGCATCGATCGATCGCACGTACGTACGTATAGGCAGCTTACTTTGGCCCTTCAAGTGCGTGGAAGGGGCAGGGCATGCTTTGTGAATGCCCAATTCGTTGGTACCTAATTTCTTCCACTGCATCATCTACACTACATATACTTGTTTTTGCACGCATGTTGGCCGGCATACCTAGAACAAAAGTTGGTTAAAGCTATTTATCGATCGATCGAGCATCGATTCCATGAATTTTACACACACCCACACACATATATACGAGCAGCTGCTAGTTTTGTTACCATAGTGCAACTTGCACACAAAATGCTAGCTCCACACTTTTAGTGCAAATCCCATAGACATGTTAATTGTGGCTAGCTCTGCTGATCTCATCGCAATTTAATTTGCAGCGTGTTTAGGCCATCTTTGTTTAGGCTTAGCCTTATTGGCTTAGACTTTTAAATCAGCTTATTGGCTTATATATATGATTTATAAACCGGGAGATTTAATGTCCTAAGTTTAATGGTGGAGTCATACATCTACCTCACATAAGCAAAAAAAAAAAAACTTCTCTAACCTAGCTTTTGGCTTAATAGTATTAGAGTGACTTATGGCTTAAAAAAAGTCAAACGAATAAGCTGCTTGTTTGTTTAAGCTTAGACTTTTCAGCTTATAAGTTGGCTTGTAAGCCTAAATAAAGAGGGCCTTAGAGTTATAGACTATTCATTATTTATCATGCATTAATCACTTAGGTATATACATATGAACTCTTTTAATTTCAATCCAGCTTAACTGTTTAAAAAACAATTAGTTATAAATATGAGCACTGTTCGAGCACTGCCCAATCCGTTTGTCCATGGACCATCCCAACGCCTAACGTGTCGGCACCGCACGGCATCAACCAACGGTC